CACACCTCAGCGCAAGGTCAGAAGAAACGTCTCGAAAATACCGCAGCAGTGAGAGGGCGCTGTATCCCTCTGTGCCATTTAAGCAGGCATGCAGGAAGAGGAGAACTAACTCTCAACCTCTTGGAGGTTGAAGAAAACTGCCAGGTGAACAGAAACCTTTACCTTTTCTGTAAGAAAAGGGCCAGGAAATACACGGTGTGGAACTGGACTCCAAAGGAGAATGACTTCTACCCGAGCATGCCCATCAGTAGGAAATCTGCAGACTGCAATGCAATATGAGGCTGCTTGGTACAGTTTTCTCTAAGTATAAATTGGGGGTTTTTAAATTTTTCATTTCTCCATCTGATCACTTGGATTTCAATTAATTTAGAGACCTCAAAAAATCAAGTTACATTCTAGGAGTCTAAAAAACATACCAGGAAGATTTGTGCTTCACCTGCTCTCTGAACTTGTTAGTAGGTCCTGTTCTTCATGCCTTCTGCACAAATAAACAAGGGAAAGAAAGGAAGGTCTAGGAGACCAGAGAATCATTTCCCAGAAAGGGATCTTTTGGGAATGGGTGCAAGGATGTGCACAGTCCCATGAAACTCACAGCAGTTCCTGGTGCTCGGTTTCCCAGGACCCAACTTGAAGCAGCAGAATACACCACTGTCTGAGGACATCACTGCCCACAATAACAATTCCAGACAAGGCTTTGCCTTGAGCTATGAAATAAAAAAAATCAAAGTTCTGTTTTAACATTTTGTCTGAAAAATAACTGAAATAACCGAGTGGGAAAAGAAGCGACCAGGGATATAAATGGCACTCCTTACCAGATAAATAATACTTACAAAAGCCAAGAAATTAAAAACTCCTGTTCCAAATGTACTGTAATGCAGCTGAATATTGACTTACAGAAATTCAAACTAGAAACTCTCAAGTGTTGCTACTGAGGATTTTATGCAGGGATAATATGCAAAATGCATTACTCCTCGGATGCATGTTTTCTAACGCTTGGGCAAATGTGCAGAAAAAGCAAATGAAAAAAGCTCTTTGAGAAGTGGTGTTCCAAGCCACTTGGAGCACCTAAAAGCCAAGAGGAAAAAAACCAGAGTTTCTGTGGGAAACACAGCTTTGCACTTCCTGACTTGCCTGAACATAAAATATAGTAACTGAATTCTGCCAACGAGCCATCTGATACCGTGGCCAGATAACTGTATAGGAAAACCAGAGTCAAAACAGACCAGAACTGAGAGTTCTGAAGAAGCACTGAAAAACCTACAACAACCTCTAACAGGACATTTTCCTGAAGAATGCCATCATGAAAGCTAAGTGACTTCATTACTTCAGTTTCCAAGATCTTTCAGAAATGAGTCAAACTCAAAGAGCCATGTAGGCTACGCAAACTATTCCCACCTCTTCAATTGTGGTGGTACCCTCCACAGTGTGAAAGAACAGCTCTGGTTTGCTTCACTAACTGCTGTTTTCAGGGCGGTATGGACAATCTTTAGCAAAAGCCTTTTGTGAAATTCAGTCCAAAAAAAGAAACAGCAGGATGTTAAGGAGAAAGTAAACTCTCAGTAGAAGAGTTGTTAAGAGTTTGATCAAAACAGTTCCAGTTCCAAGAAAAAAAATAAAGACCTTTAGCCTCATCCTAATCTTCTTCCTTCCTCGAAGCATCTGTTAGAGATTTGCCTCATGCCACAATAGTTTTGAGAAAAAATAACCCCAAACCTATCTCAGAGCAACTCCTGGCTGAAGAAGAGAGGAAAAGAAGTATTTAGTTATATCCATATTTTCAGTATTACAGTTTTCAATACAGCATTATATCAATGTTAACACAGAAGTAGCCTATTTTCAATACCAAACAGGGACTCTGGAAGCTTTATTTTTTATACAGATTGTTTTAAGGGCTTCTTGCCCTCTTATTCATTTATTGCACAGATCATCTCCTCCCACAGGCAATTGTGCAATCTCTCTGTGGCAACAAAGCCAATTGCTTAGTGTCCCAGTATTACTTTCCCATGTACTTACGGCTGCCTAAATATAAGTCACCAGCTGGAGATAAAAAGGAATTACAATCATGAAGTTGTGCTCTCCAGGTCACATTTTGAGAGCCTGTGCTGTAGAAAAGTAATTAAGTGAAAATACATCTACCTCTTGGTTGTGAGCTGTTCACAATAACGTTTAAAAACACTCTGCAGTAAAGCATTGCCACCTGTTCTTTCATTTTAATTTAAAAATTCTGAATCACGGTAATGTAAGCCTGAAAATGCCTGTATTCTGGAAACCTGTGCATTCACCAACCACAACAATTACGACCGTATTAAATTTATGAAGATATATGAAAGAACAGTACAACGATTAAAGGGTACTATAAAGCCAAAAAATATAGATGCATGTAAGTTACAGACTACAAATATATGTTTTCAAACCACTGTCTCCACTGTGTCTAGGGAAGGCACACATTTCAATTAATAATACATGCAGGCTTTATGTTCAGTCGCAGCATTCAGGAGACATTACCCTTTCAGGCATGGTCTTGTAGGAGTCCTACTGAACTTTCATTAGAAGACATCAATCAACCTTCCTTCACTAAAAACACATGTTCGTTGTAGACCACAAAGATTTTCTAAACAGCTAAAGGAAGCTCTATCGTGTGTATATATTTATGACCACAGACAAAAGGTGAATCAAATCTGGTCACGTATTTATCAACTACATAAAAAAGGCTTTTTTTGCATCCAACTCTTAAGTCCAAAACAATTTCCCTTTTCTCCCAGTGCCCTGAATCCACACTTCGTTTGACGGCTGCAGATTTTCTAAGCTCTAATACCAATGCAACCACTTACCCTTTAAACTCTGAAAAAACACCTAACCAGTCCCGCCTCTGAAATGCTTCTCCATTTTCAAGCAAGTACTCGTGGTCCCTTGCTATCTGAGTAAAGGCAAACATTTGACATGAAGTTTTTATAAAGAGGGCGCTTTGAACTTACAGTAACAGATGTGGTTGATTTTGACATGTTGTATTTACTTAAACCCCTGTATACTTATCATGTTGCAAGTTTCCATTTTTCTTTCAGATGAATCTTGTTAATTTTTACCTTCAACTTTTTGACTGATTAAGTTCGCTGTGGTGAAACATACGGAGACAAGACCTTCTGGTTAAAACTGATAGACGGTTGTTTCCATTTACAAGTCCTCTAGATTTTTATTGGCTCATTAAATATGTAAACTTTGAATGAGATTTAAATTATCCTGCTACATAAATAATCTCGCTTCTGCTCTTTCTCAAAGAAAACTGACTGCTGCCATCTTGCGGTGAAGCATTTTCAGCTGCCGCACAGACACAGTTGGACCGTGCCCAAGTAACAACACTGGTACTGTAATAGAACCTAGTTTTTTTCTAAGATAAATATTCCAGAATACAATAGAGTTGATAAAAAATACTTTACTCCATTTCCAGCCCTCTCTAACGTCTTGCGCAATGATAGGGGCTGGAAGTGCCGTCTTGTTAACGCTTTGAGATAAAGTTGAGGTGTAAAAGCATGAAGTACAGGGTTCAGAAGAGCATCCCCCCCTTCCTGCCCCTCTCTGATGTTTAGCATGAAGTGTTGGGGAAGAAGAGAAGAAAAGAAAGATTCACACAACCGGTATTAAGGAAAACTGCTTTTAAAGTTGGGAACAAGTTGATCCCCCAAGGCACATAATTTCCTTTTTGGCGCCTTAGAGGTCATACTCAACTTACTGGAAATTCACTTTCCTTCGGCAATTTGGATTTTGTGAACACCAGAGGAAAAATACCCTACTTCCTATGAGAAAAAATCATCGCGATATTTTCCGCCAACCTCAAATAAAAGAGTTAACCCCCATTTTTTAAAAAATTAAGTCTTTCTTTACATATTTCAAACGTTTACCCACGTGTTGATAAATGTCTCTACGACAAAACGTCTGCATACGCTACCGTTTGCCACTTCAGCTCCGTACATTTTTCCGCTCGTTGCCCACAGGAGCTCAATTTGACATTATTCCTATCTTTCTTCATATGTAACCCATGCTTTTGGAATTAGGTTCCAAGTCCCACAACCAATAGCATTGGCCTAGGGCTTTTCTTACCGCTTATAAACAGTTGAAGGAAAAGAATTCCATAAGAATTACAATTTGATAAGACGTTTTAAAAAATTAAATGGAAGAAGTTCAAAGAGTTACTTTAAAAAGAGCTTGAAGGAAGAATTTGCCTATAGTAGGGTGGAGCAATTATAATTGCATATACTGTAAACATGCAGGTTTTTTAGATTCCTGTTCTTAGCACATAGGACTAAAACTGCTCCATACCTCAACTCTGCCACCTCCACAAACCTCTTATCTGCTACAACAATTAAATGTGGCAGTAATATGCACAGCTTATGTTATTCCAACACTGACTTCAACGACAATAAACAAAAAATATTCTCTCCCTCTCATGCAAGATCCTTAACACTTCTAACAAACACTTAAAGTAATCTCCAAAAAGAGCATGGTTATGCAGAGATAATATGGTCACTATTTTTTTTCCACATTTGCATGACCTTAACTTTGTGTTATCTTTCCGTTTTCCTCCAGCACCTCTGCATTTTCTCACACGTATGAACCACTGCCACCTATCACTGCACTATGAATATTTTGCCTGCTGA